TACCGTCAAATTTGGTGAAGGTTTGATGCTGCTATCGTGCTGGGTAGACGCCATTTTGAGTGTTCAAAAACATGCGCCCCATCATTGAGTCACCGTTTGAATTGCCCGGTCTCGACGACCGTTGGCAATTTATGCCACGTCAGCATCGAATTTGCCCGGTTTTATAGGTTGGGTGGTGGTTTAAGGTTCGGAAAGTTCATCGACATCCCAAAAGGCAAGCCACGGTTCTCCGCAGGAGAACTTTTAGCTTGTTACCGTACAACGGCCGTGCCACGTCACTTCACGTGTGCAAAGCAGCCGCGGGTTTGCCTAATAATTGAATTGATCGTTGACCCGAAAGTTGAGACCGAGAAAGTCAACATCGAACAGCCCCCTGCGTAAGATATTTCCGGCAAACCAACCAGGGTATTCCTCAACTCGACAGTAGCGGTCCTCCCGGTCCTTGCATCCACTTGGACGTAGCGCAAGAGTTGACATCCCTCTAAATATTACGGTTCAGATTATTCGACCGGGCTGACAAGGGGTTCAGCGTTACCACTTGGGATCTTCGACCCGCCCCTCGAATCTTCAAAAAGCGCCAGAAAAGTGTGGGGGAAAGCGGCCCGATAGCACGACAAACGACGGATGAACGACTGTGATAGCACGACAAAAAGGTCACCTTGTTCAGGTCTGCGTACCGAGAACTTTCTCTGGCCGATGCTTTCGCGGTTCGTCAAACCCAGAAATCAAGCGACCAGCGCCCTCAACGTCGAACCCACAGCAAAGATTGCCGCGTTGCGCGGGAAAGGGTCCACAGGTCGGGCTTAAATCTACCGATCACGTTTTTTGGCTCTTGTCTGCGTGAAGTCAACTCCAATAAACCATATCCGGCTGCTCTTGAGCCTCTCGCGTTACGCCTGTGTATTTTGACGTCGTATACAACATACGACGCACGTTTGGTCAAGAAGCCCTGCACGGTTGACGAAGAAGCAGCGAAGCACGCGCGGCCGGTGCCTGCACATCAGGCAGGGCTGACTCTCACTGTCTCAGTCTGTGACTGGCCTGACTCCTGACTCCTGATGTCACTCTCAAGAGTGAATGCCCTGGAAAGGTCACGACTCGCAGCAGACGGTAGGCGAAAGATCTCTTCGAAGACGAGGGTGAGGGGAAGAGCTCTGAGTACATATACCTAAGCCAAGTCCTTGCCCCCTTCCAAGGTCCAGAAGTTTGCATTCAAGTATCCACTTTGCACATTGCTCTCTAGCAGATCAAGCTCCTCTCGTCTTTGTTCTTGCTTTGACTTTAAGGCGAACTCCAGCGCACCGCCTTGACTCCACCTGAGTTGTTTTCTTCTCCTCCCAAAAGATGGCAGCTACTCTGCTTCAAACGTCCACGTTTTCAGGGACAGTAGCGCCCTTCACATCAGTCAGATCTGCAGCAGCCTCTGTAGCAAGCCAACCAAGATATGCTGTCTGTCTTCCACTTGCTCGGAGTAATTCCGTAAGTGACGCGAGTAAGCATACCACCAGTTCGCAAAGATCTCAAGGTACCTTGCCAGCTTTCCAAAGTACCAATGCTCAGGATATCACGCTTCTAGGAAGCAGTTCAGGCCAAGCCTTTGAAACGTTCTGGGACAATGTGCTGTCAGAGGGAGAGTCCAAGACAAGAAGCAGAGATGGTGCTGGCGAAGCTTTAGTAGATCAACAAATAACACGGTCCACCATCGGGAAGGAGGACTGGCGAGCTGTCAGGAGGGTCGTTGACTTCGACTCCAGAAAGGCAAAGGAACTCAGAAGGAAACTGCGAGAGACAGAGAGCTTCCATGACACCTTCTATCACAGGCAAGTACCATCTGCTCTGGCCAGTACCATCTGCTCTGGCCACGTGCCGACTATTGTGGAGTCTTGAGTGGCGCCACAAGTTGCCATACATCTTGTCTTCTACTGAACCAGCAGGTTCTCATGGGTGAGAATTATGTGAATATTTGAGATCAAAGCTCTTGCTGCGTGAGATAGTCTTGCTTCTGTGGTTCGCTTGTCAAGTTTGTAATGAACGGTGCTGCAGTGCTCTTCAAAGTCTGATGAGCACTCTGAAGAGGGCAGCTCAAAGCGCTGCTAACAATACATTGTTTTTACTGCAGTCATGTAGCAGAAATGCTAGCAAATCGCATCGATTGACTAGCAGAAGGCCTTCCTGTCCCCTGGGGAGGCCGCTCTTGGATCACAGATCTTGCTTTCAGAGGAGTTTTGTTCTCATTACTGTGGTATTGTGTAACTGTAGGAGAGTTCTCTGTAGTTGTAGGGGAGCTTTGACACATAACACATGTAGGGCAGCTTAGACAGCTTGTATCTGGTTGGCCGTCACCTTTTCATGACAATCATAGGTCTTGTATGAAAGAGAACGACAGCAATACTTTAGCAGAGCAGACAGCCCGCTTTTGAAATTGTGTGAGATAACTCGTTCAGATGTCGTGAACAAAACGCGTGAGGGGGATTGTAAATAGTCATTCTTTCAGTTAGAATTCACGGGAAGGTCCGGGTAGAGAAATCATAAGAAGTTGCCTTCAGTTTGCTGGAAAGACTAATGATAGCTGACATTATTGACGGCAAAGAGCGCAAAGGACATGGGTTTCCACGGAGATAAACAACATTCTCAATAACCTTTGATCAACATGTGTCCTTTTGACATCAGTCATCATAGAGTTGGCCCTTTCCCTTGATGTTATGGTGCATGTAGAAGGTATCTCTTCTCAAGTGCGAAATATCTAACCCTTCTGAGTGCAAAAGTTCTTTGATTGTTAAGCTCACTGAAATATGGGGGCATCCGGCGGGCTTGTCATGTGCACATTGCAAAGTAGCTGCGCAATCTTTTGGCACATACGCAACGAAACAAGCTATCTTGCCTGGCCAAATGTCCAGAGCTCAGTATTGCATACGGATGTACCCGTTAATCGGAAGGTTAACTGCAATCGTGAAGTGGTCAATCAAAACTTACTACATGTAGCTTGACACACATTGAAGACTACGAGACTGACTCGACCTTTGGAAGAAATTGTTTCAATAGTCGACAATAGAAAACTTTACTTTCGGGGCATTGGGGTCCGCCAACAGTCTTACGTACGCGCATGCTTCGGCTAGCCTGCCAATCATTGCAATTTTAGCCCCTCGATCATTGTTGCTGCGGCATTGCGTTGCTTAAGCGGTGCAGCAAGTAACACTTGCCAACGCCTAGTGTTGCAGCAACGCCTCGAAACCTTGCGCAACATTGCGCAACGCCCCCGCAACGCCGTGCAACGTCGCTGCAATGAGCGGCTAAAATTCCGATCTGAGTCACGACTCGGTGCTCATGCAACTTTGTGTTGACGTGGGCCTTGATCCATACATAGTATTATAACAGGTCAAAAAGCATGCAGTTCTTCGGACATGTGTGCATGCCAGGATATGCAGGAGTACTAGACCCGCTTGCTCCGCAAACATGCAATAATCGTTTTCGATCAAGCGCCAATATTGTTGGTTGAAGTATAGTATCAACGCTTCAAACCGAGGACTTGCACAAGCGCGGGGCATGGGAAGAATCAAACTAGAAGCCATCACAGTCAATGGTCGGTTTCTAGCCTGCTAGGTAGGTCGGCGGCATGTGGGCCCCCGGCTTTACGAGGGCACAAGGGCGTAATATGCAATATGAATCAAGGTTTTTTACGGTGAATTTGACTCGGACGCCGCGGGGAGTTTGCATGATCTCAGTGATCGACTCATGTTCATGGTTAATCTGCTTTCTATCCGACTCTAACTGTACGTATGTACGTATTGGCGCCGGGACAATTCATTCGGACTTCTAAGTCGCGCCTTTGATTGCAATCTTTATAAAGAGATGCATGATTACCATGCACAAGCCACTTATATGAGGTAGCCGAGTTCCGGTCGATTGGAGGGCGAGTCCGACGATTCTTCCGGTCAATGTCTAGACAATTGGTAGGTGAGTTCTAGACTCGCGACTCGATTTATCGATGGAAAATTCAGACGCGCGAAAACTCGGCATTAGGTCGCGGCAGTCTGCGACGACCAAATGCCGAGTTTTCGCGCGTCTGAATTTTCGATCGATCAATCGAATCGCGACCGGACGCGAGTCTAGAACTCACCTACCAATTGTCTAGACATTGACCGGAAGAATCGTCGGACTCACCCTCCAATCGACCGGAACTCGGCTACCTCATATAAGTGGCTTGTGTGGACTCGTATTGACAAAGTCATTGCCAAAGTTTGATCTTTTATGTGTAATTGGCAGACATTTCAAGGCCATGCACATGTAATATGCAGGCGACATGTTTGGTCAGCGAGTCGGGTTCAGTTCGAGCGCCCCTGTACGTAAGCTTGTGCGCTCATTGTGCGTATAAATATGGGCCCATGGGCTTGCAGTGTGCGAAATAGCACCGTTCAACCATGCAACAATTCAGTGTTGATTGGCACAGCTTGCCGCGATCCTAATGATGCCTCTATCTTGCCGCCTCATATAGCTATGAATTTGAAATCGCGCTTTTGTAGATTGTAATTAATGCATGCGATCGCCTTTACCCATCTTTTGTTAAGTTACTTTCATGAGGTGTGAACAGTTCTGTGGTTCGAAGTAGGTATGTTAAACGCCGATGTATCCTAATTACCGTTATAAGCATCAACGAACTGGAAGACAGTCCCCTTGAAGGACGAACAAGGGACTTATCAAAGTACGGTTTGCAAAACGCATGATCAATCATGCGTTTTGCAAAGAGAACATCATGGCACAAACTGCGACTACATGCAGTCCGGATGCACGCTGGAATCAAGTTGTAGGCTACGGCCTGTTCGGACACTCCAAACGACCACAGTTCTTTATAATTCTTCGATCTACCCGTCTTAAGTTTCTCAACAAATGCACCCCCACGCTCTCGACTGCCATGTGATATTTCTATGCCAAAATCTAGTCTTTGAATCGGTTCCATCGGCCATGAGACCCGGACATCGCCTTTGATCAAACGCTATAAGCACAAGCGAAAAGCGAACACTTCGACTCGTATATGGAGACAAGAAGATTCTCAAGCCTACCCTCTGGTCACTTGAAAGGGGCCACACTTCTGTAACCCAATGATCAATATCTGTCTTTAGAGACTATACAAAGAACCGGGAGCCGATGCTGAGCCAGCTTCATAAGTGGTTGCGGCATGACACTGAAGTTGCAAGTGTAAGGTAATACACCCGTTCCCGGCGGATGAATGAATCTTGAATCAGATGTCCAGGCTGTCGTGGTACCTTGCAAGTGTAAGGTAATACACCCGTTCCCGGCGGACGAATGAATCTTGAATCAGATGTCCAGGCTGTCGTGGTACCTTTCAGCTTTCTTTCCCGTCCTGTGCTCCCACCTGAAATCAACATCTCTGTCTGGTTCAAAGATGTAAAATCCAGTGCAGACTACAATATGCTGCTCTTGAGAAGGTCCACATACCTGGTCATACTTTGACCCTGACATGGGCCCTCATGCACATAAGGCAAATGAATCTCTTCTCTGTGAAGACAATCAAGAAGCAGGGCAGATTCGAAATCGACTGCTTCAAAATTCATTAAACCTGATGTGTTGCATGTCAGATCTCAGTCCTTGGAACTAGTTAAATGGCCGACAGCATCGTACTTACCACTCTATCGTGGCGGCTCCAACCAGGGCTGCGAGTGTCAAAGCTTGAGCGTGGAGCCTGCATTTACAAGCGAAGGTAAGTGTAATAGCAATCCAATACAAATCAGCTACTTTGATTAGGGTCATCGCACAAGAATGACGCCTTCACAATTCAGAAAGCCTATGCGCAACCTTTCAATCACCTGCTGGCAACTTTCGTTCAGCTATAGCAAGCACGTGTATCAGAATCACCCACTCTAATGACCTTGTTGGGAGATTTGATAGCCTCCGCACACTCCTGCTCCATACCGTCAGGAACTGAGACCAGATAACCGTAATGTTCCCTTTACGTAGGGGCCAGCTCTTCGATCTGTGGGGGGCTTCATCTTTGTCATTGTCAAAAATTGTAAAAGGAGAAAGGGGCAGTGCAAAAAGCCTACCTTGCATGTATCAGCTTGACACTTGGAGACAAGTGAGGCGATTTTCGCAAGTTATAGATGAGAGATCCAGCCACCCCAGTCGCCCAAATGGTGCCTGCAGTACATACTTCCTTTATTGAGATGCCACAAACACAAGACACTTGCTTGTCAACCAGTAAAAATGAAGTTCTTTGTTTGAGATTGAGAGTCACATGGTGACCAGATCAGGTAGCCATGATAGGCGTATTCTTAGTGTATAGAGAATAATATAAATACAACCTCCCTGCTTGGGACACAGAACCGCAACCTGCTAAGTATGCTCCGATGACTTCTTGCGAGAATGAGACTGGGTGGTTGACTTTCATAAGACAATACTCAACCCCTTTAGTAAGCTTGCTAAAAAAACACTTGACAAGCCTTACAGAGAAACGATCCATAGCCCTGTCATAAAAGTACGACAGAGCAGTTATGAAGGATATGGCAGCCCCCAAGCAAGGCACCGAAAATAACAACACTGAACCCTCACTATCATCTCTCTTGCCGTTTGAATTGATGCAAGTTAAAACCCCGCAATCGCCTCTTGCCGAGTGAGATGACGCACACGACAACTATAAGATCGCAATATTGGACTGTTTTACACGATTCAGGAATGAGCGACTGAACAAATGAACTGCTGTCATCAACCGGTGCCAGGAAAACTTGCCAAACCGGTTTGATAGAAAGTCCACCGGAACACCATCAAGTAAGTAACTCAGATTCAGCCAGCTGAACCAGTGCCATCAGTTCCCAAACACAATTGTCATCCGGGAAACAAACTAGTCAAACTTGTCATCCGAGAAACAAACTCTAGTTTTGATTATCCTAAAACCATAAGTTGATCTTGAAAATTAACATCCATTCAAAACATGTGGCCTCATAACTTTTGCATGCGCTCTGCATGACTAGATGCATGTTTTCCTGTACAGTAGTTGCCAGCGAACGGCAGAGTACAATCAGCACATACACCATGCATGTTAGCTTGACTCCTTAGGAATGGGCCGCTTACCGACTGCTTGCAACTTGTGCTCGGTCAGCCATTCCCTGATTTGCTCGATACGTCCCTGGTCATTCTGGTCGCCTCTTTCAGTTGAAGACATAGCTTGCTTAGGCGAGGATCAGAAATCTGTACAAAATTTGCACTAATACGTCGTGTCTGGTCAGTCCAAACAGGAAAGGCAAAAAAGTCTTGCACAATGCAGAGATAGTAGTGTTTATCCTTGCAAGCTGCAGAGATGTTTCAAGTCAAAATCTGAAGGGTTGCTGCCAGCTTTCTTTGAATCCAGGCAGCTCTTCTGTTGCGGCATGAGCTTTTGTGCACAGCAGCGCTTTAAGCAACCTCAGGTAAAGTGCCTATGTGATTGTGAATGCTGTGACCTTTGCTCCCCTCAGGCTCTGGTTTGCGCTGAAAACTGTACATGAAAATAAACATAGCTGGTCCTTCCTCTTCAACTTCAAGTTCAACTTCAAGTTCAATTAAACCACCACCCAACCGGTACATATGGGCCAGCAATGCTGGCCAATTTCATAACTTGAACTTCACGTGTGAAGTTCAAGTGGCGCTCATGGGGCGCACGCATTTGGCACTGAAATGTAGCATTTGCCCAGCTCATAGCATGCCCAAATCATGCTTTTCAGTGGCGGTGTCAAGCTCAGTCGCCACAGAGAGGCCTTGCAAGAAGGCGCCAGGCTTTTCAGCTCTTCAAACCACCAAGAATAGCTCAAATAAGCTGTGTGTGGCTTTTTAGGGCTTACAGGCCTTGTTTTTGGCCGTTTGAAGAGCCGGGAAAAGGAGCGCATCTCAACGGGGCCTGTTCCAGGCGAGCAAGCCTGACACCGTCAAATTTGGTGAAGGTTTGATGCTGCTATCGTGCTGGGTAGACGCCATTTTGAGTGTTCAAAAACATGCGCCCCATGAGTCACCGTTTGAATTGCCCGATCTCGACGACCGTTGGCAATTTATGCCACGTCAGCATCGAATTTGCCCGGTTTTATAGGTTGGGTGGTGGTTTAAGTTGTTGCACGGAACTTTTTGAAAGACTGCACAGCACACGGCCATGTCGCACCGACCGCTCTCAAGAGGAACGCTGTCAGGAATTGCAAGCACCGCCGCCGACCGTCTTGCCGTTTCTTGTTTGAACGGACCTGGAGAATTAGGCAGACCAAACTGACCGTGAGATCCCGGCATCTCCCGTTCCTTTGAAGCAACGCAACAGTTCGCCCCGACTCGGGCCCCCGCGTCCCCGGTTGTGTGACTGTCGCATGCAGACCACGTCGCCATGTACAATCGCAACAGCTGCCAGTGCACCCTGAGCTAACTACCTATTTACCTAATAGGCTACCTAGTACCGTACCTAGCTGGAGCTGGAGCCTGGCACTTTCTCCTTGATCACCAAGCTACCCGTGTGGGCGGCATCAAGGAGAGGAGTCTACAACGACTTCGTTAGGAAAGGGTTGCTGGTCTTAGGGTCGGAGCTCAATGTCTTCGCTCATGTGGTTCCGTAAGGGGCTGCGGCTACACGACAACCCCGCCCTGTTGGCGGCCATTGAGGGCGCCAAGCACGTGTACCCTGTCTTCATCCTCGACCCATACTTCCTCCGCCCTGATCCAACCGCGCCCTCACCTGGTTCCACGCGCGTAGGCATCAACCGGATACAGTTCTTGCTGCAGAGCTTACAGGTGAGGCCACAAAGGCTGCCAGTGCCGCAGGCGCTGAGGTGGTAGCAGACTGCAATGGGGCCACTCTGCATGAGAAAGGTGCACTTTTTCAGCTGCTTTCGGTGCTTGACTAACTCGACTTTACCACGCTGGTGTGTGGGGGCTGGTTGACTTTCGTCGGTAAAAACAGGGCCACATATAGCAATGCTGTGATCTTGTGCACCTCATCTGTGAAGCCCCTCCAGATAAGGGGTGTAGGTTCCAGTAAGGTGCAAGCTGCGAAGGGACCCACCCGACTTTAGGAAAGACGGTGCTCATTGAAAGCTGGGCTGATTGTTCTCCGGTGCTTGCAGGATCTGGACCAGGGGCTGCAGGCGCGGGGATCGCGGCTGCTCCTTGTCCATGGGGACCCTGTCGAAATTATTCCCAGCATGATCACCCAGGTAAAGCACACCCCCCTGCAGGTTTGCTAACGGGCAGACTTATCTCTTTTGTTTTGAGGCAAACCAATGAAACTTAGTCAAGTGCCTCAGCTTGTCCATGTATTTGTAGTGGTGGGAGACTGGTTGTTTGGAACACTGAAGTCTACCCTGTTTGTGCAGTGGCGGGTAAATCGGCTGTGCTTTGAGCGGGACACGGAGCCTTATGCCAAAGAGCGAGACGCGCGGGTCAAGGTACGCAGCAGACCAGCTGCCAGCTGTTCCAGTTCCTTTTCTGTTCTTGTGACTGTCGGCGATTTTAAGTCGATATCCTTTGCGCAAGTGATAAGATGGCAGCTGAAAGTTGAAGTTGCAATGAGAACAGCGATCAGCATTGGACCCATGCTCGATAGATGGCTGAGCCGCGTCTGGCCTTGGCTGCAGGAGCTGGCGGCGGAGCTGGGGATCAAGGAGCTGGTTACGCCGTCCACCCACACCCTGTTTGACCCTGACGAGACCATTGCCCGAGTGAGCCAGCTCAAATGAGTTACGATGATCGTCCATGTCTTTTCATTGATCTACAAACGGTCCCTCCTCGCACAGGGCACTGCTGAGTAGCCTTAGGCATGGAAGGTTGGTTTCTAGAGCTTGTCGTTGAGAAGTATTCGGAAGGGGTCAACATGAATGATCAATTTCTCCTGATTCGAGCGCTCTGTTGATCCACTGTGGACGGCCTTGTGATGCTGCTTCTTCTGACTGTGCCCCGCAGAACAAGGGCCATGTACCCACCAGCTACGGCCAGTTCTGCAAGGCCATCGGCACCCCCGCAGAGCCGCTGGAAGCACCCACCAGTATACCTGGGCCAGACCCCGAAAAGAAGGGCATTCCGACTATCAGTGTGCCCACGTTGACGGAGCTGGGCTACGGTGAGAGCGACCAGGTGAGGAGAGCCTCGCAGGGGAGCTTTCTATTGGGGGCCACTGTCAGCAGTTCGGAAGCTGGCAGTTAAGTGAGAGGGATCCCTCAGGGGCCCAATACCAGCAAGTAAAACTAGAGCGAAGTTCGAACCAGCGTGTCCGCTAGGACTTGCATCCTAAGCCCCATGTGAGCACTATGAATGCCTGCGGGGGACATATGAAGTACAACGCTTGCTTCAATCCCGGGTGCTAAGCCGGCGCCTGCCCCCCCATGCAGGAGTTTCTGCAGCAGATTGTTAAGGGGGGCGAAACGGAGGCCCTGGCCCGCCTGGAGGTCATGATGGCCAAGACGGTGAGCCAAGCGCCGGTCACGCATTTGGTCAGAGTTCAATCCCTTGGCATTTTGGACGAGGGTACGAACGGGAGGTATCCTGCCCGGCCAACCGCTACGGATCTGGCCGTGCTAAGCTCTTTTGGGTCTCCGCTGCACGGACATCCCTTTGGGGACCGTGCTTCACTTCCGCAGGTCCAGCGAGGTCCTGTGATCAACGACGAATTCTCGAGTCTCCCGACGCCCTTGATTGTGGTTTTGTACATGCACCATAGTAAGGTCGTTTTGCCGTTGTCGACAGATGCTTGGTACCTTGACGCCCTCTCCAAATCACCATGTGGCACTGCCATTCACTTCGCTCCTTCCACCTTACCCCACTAGTCGACGCCCTGTCTGTACCGCTCCTTTTTAATGTTTCTCGGATGCATTCAGGACTGGGTGGCCAAGTTCGAGAAGCCCAAGACGGGTGAGCCCGCACACGCCCTCCCTCCCGTCGCACCTCAGAGACTTTTGCTGTTGGTATCTCGACGTCCTCCAGGTTTCGGTCAGATCGGTCCAGCGCAAATATCGTGAGCATGATCAGAGGCACAAGGGCGCTCCGGCTTGGCTGGGGCGCTTAGATGCGGGCGCCTCGCACATTGCGCTTCTGTAAGGTCCGGCTTGGCCCACGTCGCTGAACCCATCCGTCGTTCTCACCTGCCGCTGGCCTTTCGTTCAGATCCCAGCGCATTTGCCGAGCCCGCCACCACCGTGCTTTCGCCGTACCTCAAGGTACGCGCTCGCTTGCGAATTTTGCGGAGCACTTGGCACACGTTCGTGTACGCTATTTCCATCATTGCTTCGATCCTTGTTGCAGAAGGCACCGGCTGGACCGGCAAAGAGTTCGAGTCTGCCGCCCTTGTTTTCTAGCTTAGCCCCTGCGTTGCTCGTATCTGCAGTTTGGCTGCCTCTCCCCACGACTCTTCTACTCGAAGCTGATGGCTATCTACCAGAAGAAAACGGGCCACAGCAAACCCCCCCAGTCGCTTGAGGGCCAGGTAACGCCGCTGCCGTGTTTACTGCGCACTGAGATTTTTAAGGCACTCACGAAAAAGCGCGCGGCTAACGGTTCCTTTCGCATTCACGCGGAGAAGAGGTTTTCCTCGGTCGCTTCTATAACAAGCTTGAGCCGAGAGAACCCGTGCGCCTTCAAATCTCAATCACCACTTGCTTCGTGACTAGGACCGTCGTTTCTTTTGTTTGACCTCGACACGCACCCGCGACTTCAGCCCGTGTCCGCACCGACTCGTTGACCCACTCGCCCCGTGCGCGGCATGCAGCTGCTGTGGCGCGAGTTTTTCTACACGGTGGGCCACGCCACGCCGCGCTTCGACTGCATGGTGGGCAACTCGCTGTGCAAGCAGGTGCCCTGGACCGACGACGACGCGCTGCTCGCCGCCTGGCGGGACGCCAAAACAGGGTCAGCACACTAGCTCCGCTGACCCCCGCTCTTCAGGCCTGACTTGATCCCGGAGATCTGGGAATATGGATCGTCTCTGCTTGTCTGAGAAGGGCGCGGCTTCTTGAGCTATCTGCGGCGAAAGCCCTCCGTGGCTGTCCAGTGACTTCCGAGTCTTTTTGCGCGTTGGATGACCGGTCTGCCGTCCTTCATCTCTGCCTATCAGCGGACTGCCAGCCAGCTGCCTCGTTGGTGGTAAAGAGTCGTCAAAGCTGGGCTCGCGACGGCGCCTGTCCGCCGGCGCGCTGCGTGCCTGACGGCTGCTGTGCTGCTGTGTCGTGCAGGTACCCCTGGATCGACGCCATTATGACGCAGCTGCGGCAGCAGGGCTGGATGCACCACCTCGCGCGCCACGCCGTCGCCTGCTTCCTCACGCGCGGGGACCTGGTGAGCCCGCATGGCACACACAGGGCAGGGCAGCGCTTCTACTAGAACTATCCAAACACTCCGCTTTTTCGTTGCTCTCCTTCTCAGTATGCCGACGTCTAAAGGCTTTTCGGCGGGGCTCGTTCGTTGCTTTGCTTATTTCCAGCCGGCAGCTTGCCCGCTGGTATTCCTCTCGACAAGCAAGGCCTGAGTCCAAGCGAGGGCCGATGTTATGTCAGCGTTGCATGCCTGGCTCCCTTCTCCTACTGGCCGTGACGCTGCGGTGGCGCGGTGTGGTGCAGTTTGTGTACTGGGAGAAGGGGCGCGACGTGTTCGACCGGCTGCTCATCGACGGCGACTGGTCCATCAACAACGGCAACTGGCTCTGGCTCTCTGCGTCCGCCTTCTTCTCGCAGGTGCGCGCCCCGCACCGCCACCGCCGCATCTCGGCACGTGCGATTGTGGCACTCGTCAAACAATCGGCTCTGCTTGTATTCGCCACCAGCGCATGCTGGTCTGCGCTCTGCTGTTTCTCACTGCTGTTGCATCGGCTGCTGCTCTGAAAGCCGGAGATGCCCTTCACTGCGGGCGCGCCCATGAATCTTGCACGAGCCTGTCACGACCGCCTTCGGCTGACGTTGCGTCCGGTGCGGCGGTGTGCAGTACTTCCGCATTTACTCGCCCATCACATTCGGCCAAAAGTACGACAAGTCCGGCAAGTACATCCGCCGCTTCCTGCCCGTCCTCAAAGGTGAGCGCACGGCGACGCACCGAGCAGCGCCGTCTCCTGAACCGGCAGTTCTTCTCCTCATGCGAGCTACCGGCGCGAGGGCCTTCGGTCAAATGCTGAAAGTACTGGCCGGTCAAGATGCGTCGTTCTTTCGCAGGCGGTGTAGAGTCGACCAGGTTGGACAGACACGCTTTGTTAATTTGCCCTCCGACTGCCCTTGCTGCAGACTTTCCGGCGCAGTACATCTACGAGCCGTGGAAGGCCCCTCTTGATGTGCAGAAGGCGGCCAAGTGCGTTATTGGAGTGGACTACCCCGGGCCAAGTAAGCCGGTGCAATGACACGAGGCCCTTGCGGCACCCATTGCCGACCCTGAATCATTCTCGATGGACTTACGCCACTTGTTCAAGTTGGTGCTTGATAGCATCGTATTTTGTGGGACCCCTCTTCCAGCGTGGCTCGCGGCGGAGGTCATGTTGTCAAGTCTCGTGCACGTTCTAGAATGCGCAGCGAGGAAACGTGCATGAAACGGGGAGACTGTTTGCCTACCGTTGATGGCGCCACTTGTCGGACGGCCCGTTTCGCAAAGCAGCCACGTTGGCGCCTTCCTGGCCGGTTCACCTTTGACCTGCTCGCGTTGCGTGCAGTCGTGGACCATGCGGAGGCGAGCAAGCAGTGCAAGGAGCGCATGGCGGCCGCGTATGCGCTGGCCAAGCAGAGCACCGACCTGCCGTCGCAGGAAGCGGTCGAGGAGCTGCGCCGCACGGTGAACCCGGGAGGGGTCAAGCGGAAGGAGCAGTACGGGGCGGCGGGGAGCATGGCGCCGGCGGGCAAGAAGAGCAAGGGGGACATCAGGAAATACCTCAAGAAGTAGGGCGGGGTAAAAGTAGCTATGCGCGCGTGCCCCAGTAGGTTACGCGGGTAGGGTGAGGAGCAGCGTGATGGCATTGCGTGCAGCCATGGGGCTAGCACGCGCACCCGGTCGCAAGCCCTGGCCCGGCGAAGTGGCTACGATTACCATTGGGCCGGAAGCCGTCATTTTTGCTTTGCGGACAATTCTTTGAAAGCTTTTACTGTGATCAAGATTCAATTGGACAAACATCATTCGATGTCACGACTGGTTGAACGTAACTGTCCTGTATATGTAGCCGGAGACCTGTCTGCTCATGCAAACAAGCTCGCAAATTGCGGGTGCTTGAAACTACTGTAGTTGAGTTGTACGTGGTTACTTTGGACGACTGGAAGCTCCTGGACGTGATGCCTAGATCGAAAAAGACGAGTAATTGGGCCAGCTTGCAAGTTTGGAACTCTTGCGAGTGGTGTAATAAAGTGTAAACCCAAGCTGGGATTAAACTAGTATTTTGGTACGGTTTATCATCCAGTTAATAAGTCATCTGAAAGTTCGTTACCGTATATTCGCGTGTGAAGTTGACCTGCTAGTGCAAAGCTTCATGAAGTGGAGGAGCCTTTCAATCACAACGCTGTTGTTGCATCTTTGAGATGGAATCTTATAAGATATGCCTGATGCAATCATCGTTGATCGAGCTCTTCAGAATCAAGACGCGCATTGACATGAGCAAGCTTGCCTGCCGCAACGTGGAAGTTAATTAAGAGTTATGCATGATCGCGCGGATCGACAGCTCATATTGAATATACTTTGGTGGTTAATTAAATCATCACATGAGCAGAATTGATATTACTAGCGATTTAGGCACAATGATACGGCGACGAGATGAACTCAATCGGTTGTCACGCGTTGCCGCCGAGTTCGGATTATATTGAATCAGATTGAGTGCATAATACGGCCATGCAAAGTATAGGCACATACCCACAGGATGCTCAATGTAATGCTAAAACTTTTGGGAACACACGAAAGCAGCTACATAGAACATGTGTTTCGGAATTACCACTTGGGCGCATTGTGCCGTCTTTACGTACAAGGCCACTGAGGCGTTGTATGTTGCTCCAAACGCTCACAATGAGCACTCTGATGTATCACTACTGGGTACTGTTCTGGTGTGCATTCGGGATAAGAGAGCATAGAATAGATGCATGAAGTGTGCACCATGGCCGACAAAAAGCAATTAGTTTGTCCACCAGCGAAAGGTAGCCAGGTAGGTGTGCTGCTCACTGCTTCGATTCCTCCGGTTCAAAGATTTTGTACCATGCAGCCGAGCATCAAGAAGGAAGGAACGACTTAGCAGTTAAAAATTCTCAGATGGTTAACACAATTTTGGTTCTTTCTTGCCCGTCAGGCACCACACCATGCGGTGAAATGTGGCACGCGAGACTTCCCTTCCTCAACAAACAAGAATGCAATTGTTTGCGAGTAAAAGCGCCGCTACGCGCCAAACGGAAGTCTACCGTCTTGACAAATTTCTTCTGAACGTTTTTGGGGCCCCTGTACAGCCTACTCCCTTACATCCGCTCCCTTGTACCTGAACCGCTGGCATCCTCCTTTCTAGATTCCATGCTTCTGATGCACCCTCTCTGGAACACTCGTCCAATGCCGAGCTTTGACTCTTACCGAATGGCATGGTACTGCCCACTGGTTCGTCTTGGGGGGAGCTTCCTCAGGATGTACAGCACCAGTGCAGACGGCACGATCTCCGTCAGCTGCGGCGAAGCACCCCAAGCCCGTCAGCCAGGTGGCGACACACGACACAAGAGAGCCAGGTAACGAGATACAAGCATCTGGGTCGAACTGTTGCAGCAAATGAAGGTTGTGGGGCTTGCGTGCTGGTACGTGATTGCTTCATGGACTTCAAGGATCCCGCATGCCGCTCACCGTGTAGTAGATGGCATTCAGGATGGGATGGTTCAGGACGTCCAGATCCGCCTCCTTGGAGAACGCAGACCAGGCAATCTACACGGTAGAGCCAAGTCGCAGCCAATCAGCCAAAGCCAAGAGGTTCCTAGCTCCTGTCAAGGAAGTTGATCTGACCCGAGACGGGAGGACACGAAAGCAGACGCTTCTGGCATCATTGCAAGAATCCGTTTTCGAGATGATCACAGCAACAACCTACCAGGCTGCCTCCTAACAAAGTGAATCGAAGAAATCGAGGCTCACCATGACGGCACGGATGGTGAAGCAGGTGAAGCAGATGGCCGTCACGAAACCGACCTGCACCAAGACACGGAGCGTCAGCAAGAGAGCGGGAGAAGGTGTAACTTTGCATCATCACTTTGCTTAAAAGAAAGCGTCACAAGCGTAACAACACAAGCTGGAATTACACCCGCAGCTGACATCAGCAGTGAGTGAGCAGGCTGGCCCCACCTCCCGCAGCTTCTTTCTCCGACCCTTGGACTCGATCGGGAAGCGCCGCAACATGAGGAACAGCCTGCGAAGCCACCACAAAGAGGGTCAAACTTCTGGCCTCAACCTAGGTCCCCTCAAGATTTCTGAGTGAACCTGGGTGTCACAAGATAATGTCCGCCTGAGGTTGGCAAGATTACACATATGCAGACCAGCCCAGGTCGCGTGTCTGCCTACATGAGAAATTCGTGACATGAGCCTATGTGCATTTGCAGTGCATGCTTGCCACTATCCACAAGAGCTGCAGTGACCCATAGGGCAAGAGTCTCACCGTCCTCCGTAGAGCAGGAAGCCCGAGGCTGCGGCCAGCGACACGACCGCGAAGAAGAGCTTGGCCGCCATGTCGATTTCGCGGTGCAGGCCAGGCTCAAGGTACATCACCACCCAGATCAGGAACTGCGCAAGAGCCACGCCGAGACAGTTGTGACCAGCTTCTCTTGTCATTCAAAGGTGCGCCAGATATGACCCAGCCTGCATACTTGATGTTTCAAAAGGGAATCAGAAGTAAAGCTCAAAGCAGCATCTTCGTCGAGGGATGGGGCTCACCTGGACCACGTAGACCGCAGCATTGGTGATCAAGAACGCCGGCCGCAGGTTGTCGGTTGGAAGGCTCCTGGCCTGCAAATTCAAACATGAAAGTTTGAAACTCCCATTCATCGAACCACCTTCAAGAAACCAACAAAGGCCAAATTGCCAGGAGGGATGTGCTTCATTTCACATGGACTCTCGATCCATGAAAAACTCAAGCTCTAAACTAGCTGCAGCTGCAGTCTTTGCAAAACCATCCCTGTGGGCTGCAATGTTTGGCCGCGCCTATCATGGAGATACCGGCAGAGATACGAAGCGTGTATATCCAAGCTGACCTGGTGATAGATCTCGGCCCAGAAAAGGACCAACAAAGTATAGGTGGTGAAGAAGAGGAGGCCGGGCAGATCCATGACGATAGCGCCGGCGACCTGCACATACCAACAGCCATGACTACGGGCTGGCGCGAACTTCGCCCTGGAACAAGCAGGAATTTTGAACAATTCAAGGTCATGCAGCCAGCATAAGTATGTTTTTCACATGGGGGCAAAAGTGGCACAAAGTCGGCGCGCCTTCTCACAACCAAACAATCAGCATTGGTTGGCAGCTAGTGTACTAGAACCTCAAACAAGAACTCTATGTCTCAAGCACTCCCCTCTACCACAGGATACGTGGCATTGCTTGCAGTCTATGGATATTTAGGGGTTTTGACTTGACAACGAGAGTGTGGTAAAAAAGTTTGCTGAACCCCTAACAAAGAAAATGCTGGATATCACAAAGATGGAAAAAACATTAACAGCCTGCAGCAGCCTCAAGCATAAGCAAGTGCTGGGCAAGGGGCAGAATACATCTACTTGGAGCACCATGCCTCACCTGGGGTTTCATTTGAGCGACAGCTGGCCGCCAGATGAAGGAGAGGGCTCGTACTGTGTACAAGCAGCAAGATGGAAAAGGTCAACAATTGGCATGGCATGGCATTTAGTGCTGGCCCAACTTTTGCAACTTGCTTAAACACAATGCGCATGCATGCATAGTCGTTTTGCCGGGAGCCAGCTTGTGACAGGATCTTGTTTAGTAGGCCTTCCGAAATGAGGGACATCCTCTCTCAGATACTTAATCATTTGGATTACCTACCTGTATTTACAATGAAGTTCAGCAGATGGAAGACCTTCTGAGTTGTCCATCCGTACTCTGGAACACGCAATTGAATGCGGATCAATTGCACCTGTACAAGAAGGAAATGCAGCAAAATTGTCCATATGTTGGAAGGGATACTTAGTAAGGTCATTTCAAGCTTTAGAGGATCCAAGGCATATCTTTATGCTCGTAAGAGTCCTGCGTGCAAGGAAGATCATTTGTCAGACCATAATAAAATCACAGACGTCTCACCAGAGCCACCAGTCCTATCAGCAAGTAAGCCCCTGCCAGAGCGTAAAAGATTCTCGCTTGCCACACGGGCGAGTCATCCACGTCGTCCCACCAACTTCCGAGTTGCTGGGCCTGTTCGATAGAGACAACGCGCCACCACATCCTCTCCATGTTCCCTGACCAAAAAGCGTTTCTACCTGGTTGACCAGGCCCTCCTGTGCCCACACGACTCCTGCTGGGGGCCCTTCCCAAAGCGCCCTACACTACACTGACAGCGGCATTTACCGTATGTAGCAACGGGTTGCACGATCGTGCTGTCTTGTCGTGCAGAGACGGTCCGCTCCATACATAATATCAATGGAGATTTCTACTGCGGCATCGATTTTGAGCATTTTGCATCGGGACTTTTAGAGGTGCGTTTCCTAGCCTTCATACTGAAGTAACAGGCCACTTTTCGACGCACACGATATGAGAAGAAAAGTGCAATGGTTGGTAACAGGAGTGCTATAGATTCTGGTTTTAATTTCTGTCGTTGTGCATATTACCATGGAAAATGGCTAGGCCGGAACGCTTTTGGGCCCTGGCAGGAAGACTGATAGCCTATAACTTGTATAAGGAACAGAGGACGAGGGCAGGAAAACTTGGAAAACCTTGTACTTCAAGTTTGGAAAATCTCAAAATTGGTGCGCTGCTGAAGAATTGAACGCAGGATTTCAATGGCTGACTGCTGCTGAAAGGCGTGTCTGCATTGTCAAGGTTCTACATTGTGCAGGGCACCTACGGTACCCATTCCGTGTTTTCCAAGGGTTTCTTTGCAATGGACCAGGTGAGTACTTCCGCCACCTGCCTAACCCGACTCTCGAGTTTGCAATGTCCTCTGAGCAAGGCTGTTTGGCTTCAATGATTTACAGCGCTAACCAAAGATAGAGACACCCTCTTAAGCAATGAGCTCCCTGTCAGATCTAACCAGAATAATCGGCGGAAAGTTGCGTAAGGACAATCAGCCCGTTCCGGAGGTCCGAATTTTGGAATTGTGGTGAGAGGGGATACGATCGCAATGCTTTGAATGCAACCTTGGGCTCTGATGGCGCGGCCCAGTTCTGGTTGCTTACTTAATCTTTGAATAGTCAGAATGTATTTTGATAAGTCTTACACATTGTCATACTAAGCGGTGAAACCTGGGATTCAATCAGTTCAATTGTGTTGACAGCAGCTTCAAGAATCCAAAAGTATGGCCTATTTCACAACCATGTTACACATGGGTTGAGCAGGATTTGTCATCCAATGTGTAACAAAGCTGAGGTTCTGTTTGAAAGCATGGTTGATAAAAGAGAATCTTTATTTTGCGGGGGCCTGGGGTGGAAGTGGGATGCTTGCATTGGTTCAGAATATTGTTATTCTTGATAATGGTCTTTGACCACCACCACCATGTAAACATTCACACAACATTGTGAGACTCCCGCAACTTTCTGGAGATTCCCCCTCTCAAATGCTCCAAGGCATCCTGGCATGCAACAATTGTCAAACCGTAAACTTGCCCACAAATTTTCAGTGACATACTATTGTGTCCTTGGCTTTGAGGCAGACTATTGTGTTCCTTGATTTTGATGCAGTATCAGAAAGTCGAAAAGATTGGTGAGGGGACGTATGGTGTTGTCTACAAGGCAGTGGACAAGCAGACCAACGGTGTGATAGCGCTGAAGAAGATCAGATTGGAGCAGGAAGATGAAGGCGTGCCCAGTACGGCAATTCGCGAGATTGCCTTGCTCAAAGAGATGGATCATCCAAATATCGTCAGGTACACCGTCCTTTCTTTTTCGCCTACGTCCTGATTGTCCCTCAGACCCAAAGCTTCTCCTTCACAATGTGTCATTGTTACAAAGTGAATTGCAATGAGCTGGGTCTTGCCTTCCATGTCTGAGGTGCATGGTCACATTGATGCTATTGGAACATGCTCTGACTCAGAGCTTTCTTGTTGCAGGCTGCAGGACGTGGTGCACTGCGACAAAAGGTTGTATCTTGTGTTTGAGTACCTGGATCTTGATCTCAAGAAGCACATGGATAGCCACCCAGAGTTTGCACGGGATCCAAGGATCATCAAGGTGAGTGCGCTTTCTTGTAGCACTGTCAGATACACGGCTGTGCAATCGTTCCTCATTGTCAGGCTGCTCATGTTTGTACGCTGGCTACATTGGGTACGTTGGCGGTTGATGCCGCCCTAAATTCTGACCAAATTGCAGCGCACGCTGCAGTAGATGGAGTTATGATGGTCATAGAGGTCGCCCATTGTGCAAGTTGATGCTTCTTCCCATATAAGTAGAACAGCTGCGCGGCTTGTGGCAAGTCCGCCCCAGACCGCCCGTTCCTGCTGCTGACTTTGTGGCGCCACATTGTGCAGACGTACCTGTACCAGATGCTCCAGGGTGTTGCCTACTGCCACTCCCACCGCGTTCTTCACAGGGATCTAAAACCCCAAAACCTGCTGATTGACCGGAGGACCAACTCACTCAAGCTGGCTGACTTCGGGCTGGCTCGTGCCTTTGGCATCCCCGTCAGAACCTTCACTCACGAGGTACGCATCCGCAGAGTGGCCATGCCGGTGGGATTGTGGCCAGAATTCCCTGACACATCCACCAAAGCTTGGACAGCATCATTTCGTGGACCACCTTGTGAAAGCAAAGCTTGACTGCGCCGATTGTGTTGTGTCCTGTTTTTGCTCCGTCCTGCCCCCTGCGCCTGACATGCCGCCTGGCCGCGTGCAGGTGGTGACCCTGTGGTACCGGGCGCCAGAGATCCTACTTGGCTCGCGCCACTACTCCACCCCTGTGGATGTCTGGTCGGTGGGGTGCATATTTGCGGAGATGGTCAACCAGCGGCCCCTGTTTCCTGGAGACTCGGAGATTGACGAGCTTTTCAAGATCTTTAGGTGCGTGGAAAGGTTGGATGCAGCTCACTCTTATTTGATTGAATTGTTAAGAGGGCTTCCCAAGGCATGAACACTGAAGCTTAGAAACGTGGGTGCATCCGTTTCTTCGAACATGCTTGGCCCTCGCTCTCTGCAGTCGCCATGTCGCTTGAATCTGCATGAGCAGGTTGTTTGTCACCCTAGTATCACTTGTGCTACTTCTTCGAAACGTTCCTGACCTACCCTATGCCTTGGCCCGTCTCCGCAGGTTGTTGGGCACTCCCACGGAAGACTCCTGGCCCGGGGTGACCTCGCTGCCCGACTTCAAGCAGGCCTTCCCCAAGTGGCCAGTCAGAGTGAGTTTAGCAGCTGATCTGGTTGCTGCAACGAGACTTCGTCTCCCTTCGATCACGTGCCTTGCAGGTGATGGGCATTGACGTCGTCGTTGCTGTCCCCCCTTCTAACTCGCCCTTGTCTTCTGTTCAGGACCTCAAGTCCCTTGTCCCCACACTGGAGCCTGCGGGCGTCGACCTCCTACAAGTAAGCCGCAACCCGGCTCTCTATGTCACATTCGCCCTTGTGATGCTGGTTTCGAAGCCCAGTCTCGGTCAAGTTGTGGCGGTCGTGAACCTGGATGATTAGTGGCTGACGTCAGTCCATTTTGCCTTGTACAGAAAATGCTTTTGTACGAGCCCAGTCTTCGGGTGACCGCTCGGCAAGCTCTGCAGCACGAATATTTCCGGGACATTCGACAACAGGTTTGAGCCCGAGTCAAAGCGGCCCTTTGTTTTCCGATTAGTGTACATATAACCAGATGACCATATCCGATTTGGTCTAGGCGGCGGTCAATCCACAGCTCACATTGGTTTCGAAAACAGATTATCAGCTTCTAAGGACAACCGTCAACTTCTAGTTGATAGTTGAGCTTGCTGAAAGGTGTTTGCTTTGAGACGTTGAAAGGTCAACAGGTTTCTTGGCAGAGTGCTTTCTAGTAGCAGCCACCGCCAGTTGTTTACTGTCACAGCTCTGAGGCAGGTCTGCAAAATCCTTAATATTCTCTGAGGTGTGCACAAGGTATATGTGCATGCCGGTACTTTACGAGTGCCTTGTAATGCTGACATGTCGACCATGTGACATAAATGAACATCGCATGGAACACTACACTTCCATGTGGTTGACATTGCATGAGCCCTACCGCCGATTTGTCAAGAATCCTGGTTTCTTGCCCATTTTGGGGGCCATTGCTATCTCTGCTTGCTAGGTGCACAAATGGACGATCGTTAGCCTCTCTTCAGACACTCATTAGATTTGAGCCTGCCACTTGATGCCTCCAGGAATTCGGGCAATTTCGTTTATACATGTCAGTGCATGATGTCGTTACTATCAGCTAGTAGCACTGCAGCATGCCACCATCTGGTACACTGACGGCGGCACATGCATGTGCCAGTACACGACTCTAGAGCTAGCTAGCATGTGCCACAGTACATGTACTAGCATGCATATGCAGATCTGCCTGCTATAGAGATATGCACACGTCTATGTCCATGAAAAGCGCCCAACATACGTTGAGGATATAGTTGCATGAGCCTGTGCGTGCGACAGCAGGATCCCATTCTCTATATGCAACCAGATGACACAGTATACGACACGAGCCGACGGTCAATTGTACACCTTACATGATTAGATCGTACAATCAGCTTAAAGTTCTAGCCTGGCTCCTTGGCAACAGCTGACCCATGTAGCACGCATTGATCGGCGATCAACAAACTCGGCTTTTTGACACAGCGTTATCAGAAAATCAGAGGTTCAACATCCAGCTAGCTGTAAACAATCCAATGCATAAATTAATCAACGGACAGAGAGCCGTTTGCAAGCTCTATCCCGTTTTATTTGAAACAGCTAAGACTCTGTGTATACACACTGACTTATGTACTGAACGGGCTTGGACAATCTGAAACTCCTAAAATGGCGGGCCTGTACCAAAATCGCTGTCATATAACTTAGTAGAGCGTGGTGGGCAGTTGCTGCTCGTGTGACCCTACATTCCTGTGCTCGTGCTGTCCCCCAATTGCAGCTCCGCCACGCCCTTCGACCCACGACCTTGCCTCGCTTCCAGGCTGTGTGACCAACAAAAACAACACGCGCCTAGAGCGTCGTGTATGGGTTGCCTGACAGCACCGGCACTTCGCAGCGGGCGCCTGTGAACCCGTTGGGGCATTGGCACCCCGTTTGCCCGCTGATAACCAGGGGCGTGCCCCCATTTCTGCATGGGTTTACCGGAGGGGCGGTCGTAGTGACAGGGGCACCTGAAGCGACGACAAAATGTTACGGGTCAATCCACAGCTCCACCATTGTCCAGCAATCATACAAGCAACGTGAAAGCATCCCTCTAAGGGACCACCTTCATATTACCCGCTGCAGAAAAAGGGAGTCCAGCACGGACCATCTTCTGGGGGCAACTCAAAATGGGGACGGTCAGGTGCATCCCATCATGGGTGGCCTCTGGCCTCCTGCGGACTACCCACTCCCTGGACAACCAAACACGACCTGACTGACAGTCCCGTTGCGGGCTCCGGTCTCACCTGTTGCTGCAGGCGTGCTGGAGGGCGGGGTCAAAGGAGGCCTGGTGCTGGCGGGAGTGGCGCTGGGGGTGACCGCCGGGACCGGGGCGGGGGCGCCCGTGGGCGCGGGAGCGGGGGCTACGACCTTGGTCGGGGCGGGGGTCACAGGGACAGTGACGGTGGGGCGCGGGGTGACCACTGGGGCGGGGGCGGGGGCCACCGCCGGGGCCACGGTCTTGGCTGGAGCGGGGGCCACGGCAGGGGCGGGGGCCGGGGCAACGGCGGGGGCGGGAGCAGGACTGAGCGCCGAGAGGGGGGGGCAGCCCAGGAACGGCTGGTTGAGGGGGGTGACGGCGCCGGGAGCGGTGGTGACGAAGGTGGCGGGGAAGTCGAAGAAGGTGAGGGTGGAGTTCTTGGCAGTGAGGTAGATGTTGGGGCCGTTGGTGGTCTGCGGAAGAGGGAAGATCGGCACGGGGCGTCAGCATGGCTGTTATTAACTAGTGGAAGCTGCCTGGTACCACGGATGACTGCTAAAGTCTCCGACAGTACGATCTGGACTTGCAAAGGAAAGGAATGCCGGCAGCAAAAGCTGCAACAGCTACCTTCCCTATCAGTCGCTGTAAGCTGGCATATTGTAGGTTCTCATTGGTCCAACCGTACAACTCGCTGATCTGTGCCTTCCGGTGAAATTGCAGCCGTCTTACCACATTTGCGAGCAGAATGTGAATGGATGTTCGAAGTATTATACATCCAGATCCGGGGCACCTTCAAACACCATCAATAACCTATCAAGGTACTGAAAGAAAATGCGAGCCACACTAGCTGCAAAGGTCCTCGATATCCGGCCGAACACTACTTGTAGCGGGGAGGGACGTCCATGTAACTGGTCACGTCAACCTCAAACTTTGGCCTCAAAAAAGAGAAATCGGAACATTAAACTTGTCAGGCATTGCAGCTATAAGTCTGCGAATGGACTTCTCAAAGCAGTAGACCAGCTTTCAACAGGCCGAAACGGGTTCCGTGAAGTGGATCAGCCTCGCCACTTTCCCCTCTGTCGAAGCCCCCGGGTCAATGCACCAGCAGAATCCAGAGAGATGGGGGGAATACAACGAAAAGCATGATATTGATGCCCGAACCCCTGACGGGCTATGCAGAATGTGGGCGACCACAAGAGCAGACTGTGAGGAGACCGAAGAAGCAAAACAAGGCAGGGGGGGAGCAGGCACACAGCACGACATACAAGCGAGGAGCTTGGGCGCTGGGAAAGACCAGGCACCAACACAGGTCCTTTTAAGAACAACGATTGATCTGACGTTCTTCAAAGATGCCCCAGTTGTGCCCTTTCCGCTGTCAGCTGTGCACTTGCAAGGCTTACCGCAGCATTACTCGTTCCTCGGAAGCCGCAGATCTGCGCGGCGGCCTGGTCAACCATGACGGCTCCCCCCAGCGGCGCTGTGTTGCCGTTGAAGGTGTTGGGCGTGCCGGGGGTTACCGTGTTGTCAGCCTCACTCAGCAGCAGGTTCCCCGAGTCTAGCACCTGGATGGCGCCGCCGCTCTGCACACCACACAGGGAGCATGCGTGAGATGGCCAGCACATCGAGCGGCAACACGGGGTGGGTGAAGAGGCACCCCCCCTCTTGTTTGTAACGAGGGAAGACGATGTTAAATCGCGACCCACCTTGTTTGCGCTCAGCCCAAGCTTTGCCAGTATCATGCTTGCCAATTGTCCTATGTTTGCAGCTTCAATCTCAAAGCGGGGCTTTGTCTCTCCGTCCTGACCACGTCTCCATCCACGTTTCTGCATCAAGGCTCCCCCGCACTCACCGTGACCGCTCTGTTATTCGTGAACGTCGAGAAGCCCACGTCCGCCTTGGCGCCGCTCTCCACATCAATGGCACCGCCAAACTGCAGCGCAATGACAATCAACCACGTCAAGGGGGCAGGCCTGAGCGGCGGCAGCCAGGAAGCCAGGGGGACTCCCCCACCTTACTACAATAGCAAGCATGCACATCAGAGATACGAATGCAGCCAGTGGACAGCAGGGGCAGGCATTATCGACGGCATGTAGTGGCATGCTGTGCCCAGCCGCCTGGTCAGTGGTAACTCACATTGGCGGTGTTGCCGCTGAAGGATCCCCCCCGTACGGTCAGGCTGCCGCTGGAACCGACCACCGCAATGGCCCCGCCCCCGCTCAACTGCACCGCAACCGCAGGATGTGAGCCGCAATCAAAAGGCACCGCCCAAAACATAAGCCATGTGGTTCAGGCAGCCAAGATTCATGGTGGGGGGCTGCTGGCGAGCACCAACCAAGATACATCACAGCTGTCACCCTTGTAGAGTGATCCTTCAGGACGGCTGTGCTGCTCACCACTCCCACCGCCTGGTTGTCGGTGAAGACCGGGGAGTCCAGCGCAACAACGCCCGCCACCAGCATGGCCCCCCCGCTGCCATTAGACTGCAACAGAACAGCTGGGGGTCAGGGCACATATGGGGTAGGGGCGCAAGCCAGCGGCTGCTGCGAAAGATCCATAAATGCAGATCCTCCAAATGCAGATTGCAAGCCGCCCTGCTGCCTGGGGCAGTCCAGCAGATTTTGGTGGCCCCCACTGCTGAGCGGATGCTCTAGTGACAGTGCCTGATGCAGCGCCTGGTGGGGCTAGTAGAGCAACAGCAGAGGCTCACCTTCGCGTTACTCAAGGTGAGGGCCGATGCAAAGAGGCTCCCGCCCGCCCTGACGTTGAAGATGCGAGAGATACCCCCCGCATCAATCGTGTTGCCAGCCCCATCTATGCTAAGGATGGAACTGAGCACCAGCTCGCCCCCGGTCAGAGTGATGGGTGCGGTCAGCGTGACAGCACCCCCCTGAGCGACCGCAGTGCGCAGCTCTGCCTCGGTAGCAATAGGCCCTGCACAAAACAAGCACCAACTGCCATTGGCACGGGCGGAGTGGACCATAGGGGCGTTTTGCGAACGAAATGAGTGCTCCCCTGAAGCTGCTGCACCAAGCAAAAGCGGGCTCATCCAGAGCGAGGCGTCACTTTAAGCTTCTCGCAACCAATGCTAAGCCCTCTGTGAGATCGGAGGTAAAACCCGCTCGCCTCTATGAGCGAGTGTCCTCGCTAGCGCCGGCAGCTAGAAAGCAACCTCCAGAAGGCAGCAGAGCCACTGAATGCAAATGCAACTGCCGTGCTTGCCGCTTACCTGTTACAGCAGCAGCCACAGAGTGCAGCAGGAGGGACAGAATTGCGATGCCAGCAAGGCCGCAGGCACCCATGGCCCTCTGCTAGGGCACCCCAGGCAGAAAATGGGCCTCTGACAAACCGCAGGGCTGCAGATGCTTAGATACCCACAGACCTGCAAAGACAAGCAAAAATGAGGCCCATCCCAAGAGCCTCAGCAGAATAGGAGGTAGCACAGGAAAGTTCTGCAGGAATTTCAGCTTTAGAAGTTGGAGTGTGCGTTCTGCATGCGGTATGAATCCGTTCTCATCATACATGAGAATGCTGCCAAGATCTGAACGTACACAATAGTGGCAGTGTAGTCAGATGGTTTTCAAGGCACTTGAATGTTTGAATGAAATATGATGTGAGCTGACCACAAGTTATCGCTGTCGGACGGCACTGACTTAGAAGCCGCAGCCCTCTTTCAACTTGACAGCTTTCTCTTGGTCAATTTTCTGAAATCTCATGCAAGGAACTCCCTTCTTTTCCAAGAAGCCCACACTGGCTATCTGCAACAGCAAAATGTGCCGATGTCTGATGTGGGACCATTACCACAAAAAGTGCCCTGCAATGCACATCGTGTCCGTGACGACATGCAGACCACGCGTCAAAGAGCACGCTCACCTGAAGCCCTTTGCTACCTCTTGCCAGGAGACCGCTGGCAGCGCCTTTGAGATGTTGACGAACGAAAAGCCAGCATGAGTGGTTGACCGGAAGATACTTACTACACCCTACGTTGCTGCACAATGCACCCCTCCTTTTCTGCGCAGCTCGAAAGTCGCCACAGCTAAACCGTAACGTGCGCCCTTGCAGTCTCCTTTGACAACACTGTGACTCTGTGCCAGCACGCTGCAGCAGCAGTCCTAGGTTTTCGCTACATATAATACTAGTATTAGTTAGTGTTAAATTGCCCGCGAAGATGTGGTCCAAAACACCGGGCGAACTCATGTGCCAGCCTGTACCAAGTTCTTGTCGGATCCTCTTTCGGGACGGGGTGCGCTTAGACTAGTCCGTTCGATCTGCGTACGCTCACACATCGACGGCACAAGAGGCCTCACTGTGTCAGTTGGTGAATCCGGCAAATTCGCAGGGTATCAGAAGTCCCCGCAACATGATGAACCCGGTCCTTGGCGGTCAATTGCGGTCCACCTGGC